GGGAGGGGATACTAAACCAAGTCGAGTGCACCTAGTGCACCAAGCGCTCTGTCCCTTTCTTCCAGGAAAGCTCAGCCCACCGACACAAATACCCTTATTGCATGAGCGTTTGATAGAGGGACCTTCCAAGAATTTTATCAACACTGACAATTTTCATCAGCAGCTCGGTAGCTACCCAGCCCCAGTGGACAAATCACGGTCGCCTTACCCAACGTCGTCTTTATTTTTTTCTGAACCCGCCGCGTAAAACTTTGCGAATTTTCCCCCTAATTTATTTTATTTTATCTATAAAAATTCAGGGGGTGTTCCCCAACTCGAAATTATTCCTGTGGGAATTAGGACCCCACAATAACGGTACAGCGAACAGGTTGCGATATTCGAGGTTCTGCGAAGAACGCGCTCCGCAGAAATAAGGCCATCATCCAGCGCAGCGTCGAGATACGCGAGAAAGGGATGAAAAATTCAGTCCAGCCCCTCGACGAGAAGTGGTAGTGCGGTACGTAACGAAGACGGTAATGATGGGGCTGCACGCCGTGCGGGACGCGCGTCCGCCCCGCCCGCCCGCCTCCCCCTTCCCCTCCTCCTCCGCGTCCTCCTCCAGGTCCTGGCGAGCGGGTCCTCCTGCAAGCAGACTTCCAAATTGGACGGCCAGGTCGCATATTCTGTCCCCATCGCTCCCCGATCGGATCGTCATCCCCGGCCCGGGCGGGGGTATGCACGTCGAGTTCGTCGAGTGCACAAGCAGTATATACCGCGCCGACCGGGACCGAGGCCGAGGGAGACGACTCGTCTCGGAAATGCTTCTTCTTGCGCCCCGGAATAATTATTGCGACTTAGCAATTGATATTGCGGAGCAAACACGCCGGTCGTCTCCTTTTTCCTTTCCGCGGTCCTGGAGACGCTCTGCGGGAGGCTGGAGGGTGAGGAGGAGGCACGCCCGATGCCAGCGCGGGCCAGTCCCCGCGGCGGCCGGCCCCGTCCGCGGCCTTCCGATTAAAACGCAAGTCCTTGTTTGCTGTCAAATTCCGGCCGGTGAACCGCGGCCCTCGCGGAGAGGGGCGGGGCGGGGGATGGAGAGAAGGAGAGGGCTTGTGGCGGCGATTACGAGTTCCTGTGCTTCCCCCTTCACTCCTCCCCTCCCAACTCCCAGTGCCAGCCCGAATCAAGACGGCAACCCCTCTTAACCAAGCCGCGCGCCAGACCACAACCTCCTCTTCCCTCTCCACCTCCGCCTCCGCCTCTTCATCCTCGTCCTCTTCCTCTTCCTCCTCCTCCTCCTCCTCTTCCCCCTCCTCCTCCCCCTCCTCCTCGCCGCGCGGGCTCGCCGCCTTTGACCCCCGCCGTGCTCGCTAGCGCCGCGCGTCCCTCCAGAAATATATTTTCTTATGTAATTTGAAATGATAATTCTGGCAATTTGGAAGTGTGCGAAAGAGCGGTGGAAGACAGCTACTTCAGTCACCGAAGAATTCCACCCCCTCAACCTCTCTCTCCCTCTCTGCTCCTTTCGCCCTCCGCCTCTCCCCCTTCCTCCCCCTCACCTGCCGCAGAGCGCCCCGCGCCGCGCAGCGCACGCACCCTTGGTATTACATTTCTCTCAGGTTGTCAGAACGACGGCGGCGCCCCAAATGTCCCAGGATAATTTTTGCGTCTCCCAAGGGCGACGAGCGCGTCGTCTGCTGCAGTACTAGCGCGCGCCTCTCCGGGGGACTCTCCACGAGGAAGGCCCCCGCTCTTCTCCGTCTTCTCAACCTTCTCCGCTACACCCCACTCTCCTTTCTCTCAGTGTCTCCCGCGCACATGAGTAAGGCCGCTACCTACCTCATGACGCGCCTCGTCGAATACCCCCCCCCTCCCCCCGCC